TATTGCAGATATGTTAAGGAATTTTGTTATTTAAAATTACAAAATCTAATAATAACAAGTAAGGTTAGTGCAATTATTTGAAGGAAAAACAGGCAAGATTTGAATGGCCATACGTAATAAATGGCAATTTGTCTTCGATTTATTGCGGTTATGAGTAGTAAAGAGCGCGAGGGGTGTGACTTGAGAAGTGATGTTGCTTCGCACGTAAGAGGTTCGTCGCGGCGCACTAAGCGAGCGATATCCCATCGAACCATAGCATCTCATTCATCACCAGTTAAATCTTCAATCTCAATTCAAGATTCTGACGCTGATATAGTGACGTTGCCTGCTATTCAAAAAGAATCAATTTCTGTAGATTTAAATCAATTCTGGTCGCGTCCTCCAGTATTTTAATATCGTTCGAAATATTGATCGTAATATTCTTGTTTCTAAAACTCTACAAAGAGAACAGCCTGTTACTCCTTCCTTTATTCATCCTTCCATGACAATCAAATCATCTTTGTCGAACAATGGAAGGCCAAATTGTAAAGATGTTAAAGTAAAAAAGTTAAAGTTAACATGTTTGAGGTAAACCTCTACTTCACGCTGGTATTCTGTGAGGTCGTGGTACCACCCCGGTTCGAGCCGGCCCATCCGTACGACAGCAAAAGCCGCCACGTGGCTCTACCACTGTTGATGCGAGTGTCGTGGAACACTGGGTTGGAAGGAAGTTCCTTTCGTAATATATTATTATTGATAAACGTATTATATTATTGATTAACAAATACAAATAAATGAATTACTAGCGTCTATTAAAATGAACAGTTATTTAAAATAAAATAATATTTCTTTCATGGCAAGATAAGAAAAAGTTTTTTTTTATAGGATAAGGGTGACATACGAGCACACAGTCCACCTGATGGTAAGTGGTTGCTGCCGCCCATAGACATCTTCATCTATCTTCTATTACAAATCAAAATGTAGATGCGTTGTCACCCGTGAGGACTAAGATGGAATGCCTCATTTCCAGTAAAAAAGGCCTCCGGCCACTTGCACTCACCAAGCAAAGCGCAGAGGTAAATCTCTACTTCACGCTGGTATTCTGTGAGGTTGTGGTACCACCCCGGTTCGAGCCGGCCCATCCGTGCGACAGCAAAAGCTGCCGCGTGGCTCTACCACTGTTACCTGTAGTGCGAGGGAAATTTCATTATTAAATTAGACAAAAACATAAGTAAAGAACATATTCAAAGTTTAAGTCCGACAGTATCACATTATCGCCGCGAACATGCCTCCAATTAGTTTTATTTACCCGGTGACTTAAATATTACGATGATGCGCCAATATTTTATAGAGTAATATACTAATAAGCAAATATCCCTCAAGACATATCGCAAGGTTTTAAACGAAATAAACGTTTCCTTTGGTCATCTCGGTTATGAGAAATGAGAGTAGTATGCTCTACATAATTCTCATAATGAATGGTCTCAAGAAAGTTGTAAACTGTGTATTCAATATGAAAAACCAAGTTACACACAAACTAGAGAAAAATACCAAAACGACAAGGAAGCATTATCTATCGACAGCGATTATATTTACTTTCCTAAAGCTGTGATTATATGATTTGAGTAAAAGAAAACACTTCAAGTGGTCTGAAAAGATTTATTTATAATTAATAGAATCAGGCGTTACTTTGCGGAAATCCATTATATAAAAGCTATTAGAAAAATTTTACTTAGCAAATATCCGCGTTATAAAATAAAATGATGTGTCTTACCTAGTATGAAAAGCACCTCCCGCCCTCCCTCAATTGCGTGCACTATCCCCGTCACCACTAATCCCAGCACCGCTACTCCCAACACCACTACACTAGGTAAGACACACCACTCACGATAATACGACACGTGTTTCGCCTCTACACGAGGCATCCTCAGGTGATATAGATTCTACGGTGGCTAACCGCTAAGATTTTTTATTTTTAGGGAGTAAAGTGATGTTTTTGTAACATATTTCTCAACAGTTTCTTTTATAAATCAATATTTTATATGTAATAATTTTGTTTCAATCATTTTTCATATAAATTTATAATATTCTTTCAATCAACTACCGTTGCATTGTGTCTGATTAAAAAAGTTTACTAATGAAAACCGCAATAACTAAGACATTTATTGCATTTATGGTTGGAAGAAACAGGATATACAGTTTATGCTCTAATCTAAAGAGCAATGTCTCGGTTTACTAACAATAACTGCAATAAGTATTCTACTTATTGCGGTTATGATTAGTTACGCTCTATCAAAACAATTAACAGTCCTAAAGATAAATACATTATTGCGTTTTTAATGCATATATAAATGTGTATAAAAATATAATATACTACAAAGAGTTCTGCATCATTTTATCTGTCGTACAGTAAAAGTTTCAAGTCACTTGCTATCATAGTTACAAAGATACACACAAAATAAAAATAAAATCTTTAACTGCGATTATCTCGAAAGTAGCCTAAACCTAGTTTATTGCACTCTTCCTAAGAACGGCAGTTCTGTAGTAGCCAAAAAGAGAAAAAAGGTTGTATTAAAAAACAAACCATGTGGTGACGGATTAAGAATATCCACCACTCTCATTTTGTCTAGTCTACTAGGTGTCATAAAAGGCATCGGAGGGAAACTGAAACAGGAAATCGGCAGTTAGTTATTATAAAAGTTACAAGTTTTCACACTTTCGCACTATATAATTATATAACAAACTCCTTTCATACCAACAGTCTCCAAGCATTCAACCATTATTAAGATAAATTTGATACGAAACAAACACGTAAGGGATAGGAAGAGAGAATAAAAACAGGAATAAGGTAGATGTTATTACAGCACTATAATATATATTACAAAGACATTTGGTGTTTATGCTATGGCACAATAATATGTCCTGGGCAGATGAAAACATCTGCCTTAACCGGATGAATCACGCCGCGATCGATATCCATTCATCAACTCACAAAACTACATTTGGTCATTTTATGGCATTATGATATATCCTGCACATCTATGACGCTGGAATGGAATCAGTTTCTCAGTATACACCTTTTGACAACCTTTCGAGCATTTACGGCACTAGAACATATTCTGCATTAATGTTTGCTGTTGGTAATACTGATGGTCACTATAATATATAATGCACACATAGGAATTAAATAAGGAACCATATAAACCTGAGAGAAAACAAAAAAATCATAAACAGTTAATAAAAAAAATGTGCTCTATTTCGAATTGCAAACATACTATGGAGTATGATGCAATTTCAAATGATATAATACTATACTAATGAATAGTATGATATAATTTGAAGCAAGGTTCGAGACAAAGAGCTACCTCACAATATTCACACACAAAAGTGGTAAGTTTCGAAACGTGATTTCGCTTCAGACACCAGATGCACTTACGTCGCAGAGTTCGGTGGCCGGCGGCATGTGAAGCTGAAAACCTGACAGGCCAGTGAACACTGTCCGTCAAGCGTCTCGAGGGCAAACCGCTGTCGCGATCTGCCCTTGAGACGCTTGTGTCGCGAATGTGTCGCGAACATGGGTTAATCTCGCGATGATAGCGCGGCACTTGATCGAGGTGTTTATCAATAATGTCTTGAACTAATTGTAAACGAAAAGACAAATGAAGTTGCCGTTCGTTACAAGATTTTTCAAAGTGGATTCTAGAATTAAGTATGGTAACATTTAAAAGCCTCTTGAAGAGCTTCATGTTCCATTTTACACAACGTTTTCTCTCCAATAAATATGGTTCCAGCATTTGATCTTTACGATCAATTCCACCCATATTCTTATTATAATCAAGAACCAACTGGGGTTTCCACTGAGGCGGCATATGGGGCTTGAATGGTGCCAGCCCTTGCTCAGTGCCATGGTACGTACTGATTAACGGAACCCTTTTTTTATCCTGATACGCCATTATAACAACGTCACCCGAGTGACACGCCAGGAACTGACCTGCCTGTAGCTTACAAAGTGACACCAGAGATGGCACATTTTGACGGTTGGGTCGTAGTGTTCCCACACAATCGGTTCGACGTTTCTTCAAAAACCTCGCCAGGAGGGGGCAATTGAACCAATTGTCCATAAAAAGAGTATACCCTTTGTCGAGCAGTGGCCAAATGAGTTTGAGTACAGATTTAGTACTCATGTTAAGTGACGATGGAAATCGAGGATCGGGGGTATTTTCCTTTCCAGTGTATACGAAAAACGACCACATGTATCCCGTAGCAGACTCACACAATTCTAAAGTTTTTATTCCGAGGCGGGCCGCTTTATTCTTTATATATTGTTTGAATGAGAGTTTACCTTTCCATAAAGTTAAGCTCTCATCAATACATATTTCCTGTTTAGGGATATAAGCGGATTGAAAACGGGAATTCAAATGATTGATAATTGGTTCAATAGGAAAGATAGGGTGAGAATCAGGTGTACGTGTTGCGTTATTTACAAAATGAAGAGCGCGGCACAAACTATGATACCTATGGCGTGAAAACAATTGGCGGAAAATATTGGTCTTCAATAGAAAATGTTCAGAAAAGCAAGATTCTATGGAGGGCATATGGAGGATCCCCAACATCATCCAAAAAGAAAACAGGATAAATAGCTCATGTGGGTAAGGCTCAAATTTTTTGCGCAGTCGCACAATGGAAACTACAACGGAATGTGTCACAAAGAGAAAAACGTTGTACAACGGAATTTGTAAAGTGTAGTGCACATGAATTGTAAAATATTTTTGTACATTAACTGTTTGTTTTAATTTTATTTAAAAATCAATATTAATAATTAAGTATACTTACGTCACTACTAATAGGTAACGGCTACCTAGAATAATATACCAATCGAAATAGTGACGAAATAGCCCATTACGATTGCATAGTGCGAGATGGCGGACCTGATCCTGTGACCCGGGCACACCCTGGACGTAAGTACTTAATTACCTACATGATTATTGGGGTATACTATTAAATAAAACTAATATAATATACAATATTCAAAAACATTTATTAAAAAACAGTCTAGATGAGATAATACAAGATGTCACTAACATTATCGAAAAATGTAATATATTGAGAGTTGTATACTCTTAAATTTTAAAAATATATTTCGTCACAATCTTCAGTTAAACTGTACTCTCCTAATTTCTCAAGTGCAGTTAATTTAACTTTTTTAACAATTGAAACGTTGGTAACAATGTCAAAATCTTTGTTTTTCGGTATTTTTATGAATTTTATATTACTATCTTGTTCTTTAATTGTCTTTAGAAAATGAACTTCATAAAAAGTGTCATCATCTTTGATTTCAATCTTATCAATAAAGCCTACGTAATACTTCCAGCTCTTTCTTTGGTAGTATCTTACTAATATACTGTCACTTATTTTATATAGTTCAGGCACATCTGTGTCTTTATCTTTTGAACTACATGAATCCGGATTAGCATGTGTGATATTTTCTTTCTCATTTTGAGAACACAAATTAAAATTAGTACAGTCTATTGGGGTAAGCGTTAGTGGACCGTAATTACTTAAGTTAAAATAAGCTTGATTTTCAGGTGTAAATCGGACCTCAGATAAAACTTTCACTTTGCTGTTTCTATTTGTCTCATACACTATTTCTGTCTCTATTTCTCCTGTAGTCATCTCGTCATCAAAACTTGTGTAATCATCGTCAGTATCGGCGTATTGAATCTCACTAGTATCAGTATCTTCAGAAGTTGTGTCTGATTCCTTATATATCTTCCTAGCTCTTTTACTTGAATTTATCTCCTTCTTTATCTTCTTTTTTTTAGTTCTCGAGTCACTTTTCTTACAGGAAACTTTTATTGGTTTTTGTTTAAAATTATGAACTTTAGGTGAAAAACATTCACAGGCTCCTCTTGCGCAAAAACAACTTAATGATCTGTACTTGATAACACGTTTATCGTCTGTAGCAATTATCTGATGGATTTTCATAGTGTTAGGAACTGGTTGTATATTTTGAGGATTTTCCACCTTTTTAATACTGTCTTCAGTAACGTAAAATAATTTTATGGTTGTATCAGCTTTCGACAAAACATCAAATGCAGATTTAGCATCAACTATGTCCTCACCATAAGAGACTCTACTATCTAAAATTCTTTTGATGGCTCCGCCCACACCATCTGCTGCGCCTTTTCCGTGGGAAGCCTCAAAAAAGGACCACGTTGCTTGAACAAATCCATCTTCCTTCGTTTTTTCACCAAACAGCCAAAAATTTTTCTTCTGCCGGTACTGTGTCGTAGGTCCGTCCGAATAAAAATGAACACAGTTAATAGCGGGGTACTTTTCTTTAAAAAAAAATATTACAGGTTCTAAATGGCCCCATATAGCCTGAGGGTCGTGCTTAAGTGACGGGGAAACAGAACAGAAAGATATAGGTTTTTCATTTTTTACATACGCAACTCCAGTATGCAAAGTAATTTGTTGCCTTGAGCCTGCAAAGTGCATAGACTGCACTTCTTTAGCCATCTTACACGAGTAATTTTCGGAAAAATCGCAGTGTATGATGATTTCATTGCACTTTATATTTTCTATGGCTTCTTTGTATTGCTTGTGCTGGTGATAAATATTAAAATGATGATATTTAAATTTCACAAGATCTTTTTGAATCATATCAGCAAGTGTATTTAACGTACCTATTTTTTCTTCTTTTACAGTTTTTTTTGTAGTTTTGCGTGCATTTGATTTTCCATACTCATAATTTTTAGTGGTCCATTCAAGCCAGGATACTTCTTGAGTATCTGTTGCAAAAGCAAAACTAAGTTTTTTTCCATAGCACACTGTACATTCTGAATACATGCAGCTTTTTGATTTAATATCGCAAACTATTTTAGAAATCAAGTCATTTGGATCAGCAGACGATATTAAGCCTAACTTCTTGAGAGTTTGAGCTTTGAAAGCTAAATTAGCATGCTTGATACAAGCACACGTGTTGCGATTACTTACATGCGGAGATACAACGTAAAACGGACGATAGCGCTTGAAAGAAGCAAAAGACAAAATTCCACCTTCACTTCTATATATCTTATACAAGTTCGATAAGGTATTTAGCAAAAATCGTTTCTGTTTTTTAATCTTCTGACGAGTGACACATTCTTTTTTACCAGCTGTCATACGACTAATGTCGTCTCTTTCAAAGAATTTTGTAAGTTCTTTAGCTGTCCTGATTTTTTTCTGCTTAATAGAATAATAATGGCGTATACCTCGCTTCAGTCCCAAATATTTTCTTATTTTAAATTGCATATTATATTTCTTGACTGACTCACTGACAAGAAGTTTCTTTAAAACGTTTTTTTCTTCGTTTGATTTACTATCATTGTAGGTTTCTTTTAAAGACTCTTGCAGAACACGAGTTTCTAATAATTTCTTCCTTATCTGAAAGCATGAAATAAAATAAGTTTAGGTGTAAAATTGTGTTAAAGCGCAATAATTGACAACTTAATTATTAATAAAATTAAGTATATATTTTTTTAGACTATTACATTTTTATTGTTTAATTAATTTAATTAATTTTTTGATTCCTGATTGGTAATAAATGACAAACTATAAAAGATTTACCTTCTGTTTAGATTCTACAGATATATCAGGAATTTCTTCTTCTATGTATTTTTTTAAAGGGGTAGTAGGGGATTTTGTAGGTTCGACTGTATTTTCTGTTTTAAGTTGATTCAATTGGTTGGTGAGAGTATTAATTTTTTTTCTGTATCTTAATATAGTTTTCTTAAGACTGCCATTTGTCACACATAAGTTTTTATTTTTTTCCTTCAAAATCCTGTTTTCACGTAGTAATTTACTACGATATTTGCGACGTTGCCTATTATCATTATTGGGTACGACTAGCTTTTCTACCTTTTCGTCTTTTTTATTGCGTTTAGCATCCCGCCATTTCTTTCTCATCGCCAATTTTTCATCTTCACTCATATTCGCTATTTTTCTTTTTTTAGCCTTTGTTCTCTCAGCATTCTTCTTTTTCATTAAATCATATTTTTCTGGATTAGATTGTCTAAGATTTTCGCGGTACCTTCGGCACCTTTCAGCCGCGGACAAAGGCATCTGAAAAATATTCATTATCAAACCATAGAAAAAAAAAATACGCAAGCACTTTAGTATGATTTCATAAATTGAGTAGAACGTTAATAGGTACACAGCTTTATGATTTCCATTGCAACACGTCACACAATTTCGTGTCATACGTCGCACAATGGATCAAATATTCTACACAACTTAGCCTAAAAAAAATCATAATTCATGAAATTTACTATATTGCTCATTCTAATTGTTATATTTTGACAATTAAATACATGATAGATATGATTAACTATCTTAAATCAGGAAAACCATTTAAATTTCGAAAATATAGCAAAGTAAACTTACAATTTCTTAATGACACGTAGCGAGTTCCGACACGTTCGTCCATCTGACGCAAAAACGAAATGGCGGAAGCATCCAGAAGTTAGTCGAATTTCATGGGTCTGTGTTGCCACTTTAAATATATTGGATATTCCATTGTAGATTATAAATAAATCCCAAATCAGCGTTGCACAACTGAAGTGTCACACTGGATTGAAATTTAGGACATTTTGAAATTAATAAATATATAATCAAAACGCGTTGATAATATAATTAGCTTATTTTAGTAAAATTAAACCTTTCATATTCTGCAGGCCATAAAATATGCAGACTAATAAAACAGTGGTTTCTCAAAAATTTCTAATAGTTTTTGAAAAGTGTACGTACACGGACATCAACAAATTGTATGGAAGGAAAATATGAACATTTTTATTTTTAATTATAAAATAGGGATATTATGGAATAATATTTAATTAAAAAAACAAACACGATGAGTAAATAGCTAATTTCTTTGAGTTAATAATAAAAACAAAGTATTTATTATTTTAGATATTTTATTTCTTCTCTTCAATTTCTCGGACAGCGCATTTTTAGATAGTGCGCTAAAAATTTGAGCCTTACCCATGTGTATTTGTTTCGTACCAATTTCGTGCAAAAGTATCATTGATACAAGCCAGTTCTACAGCATACCGGTTTGTTTCTGTCGCTATATGAGACATGATGCTCTCGTCCCAATATTGGCGGAATGCCTCATACGCACTTCCGGACGGCGTGGTTGGCCCTGTTCCTTCCGGAAGAAACGTTTCTCTTTCACCTTGAAAGGAGTCCATGGGGCGCCAATCAAAGTGAAGAGAAGTCGCATCTCCTTTGAATAGGGCCGCATGTCCAATGTGATCCGCCACATCATCATTATCTACTTCCATCCTTCTCCTTTCGGCCCTCCGCTCTCGAGCTTCCCTATCAGCCACCACTCTCAAAATCCTATTGCGCAAATACTCAGGCACATCATCGTCTGTGACACATTGTTGAACCGCGGTGGTGTGGGCGCCGCCGCCTCGTGCCCAGCGCCCGCCCGCCGCCGGGAGCCGCACGCCTCGCACACCACCACCACTCGAACTCGCCACCACCTCCTCGTGACATACTTCATGCTGCTCCGCCAAAAAGTACTCGTTGCCGTTCTCCTCATCTAACCCGACAACGACCACTTCTGGACGAACATTTCGCCTGCAAGACAAAAATAAAAATTACATAACATAAAAATAAAAAATACTCCATACAATAGGGAACGTCTCGGCGACGCGGCGTCGAGCGGTTCGTGTATTGCATTTTTATAGCTGTGATACATTCTAAATTAAATATCCGATATGAATGAATTACTGCTACATAAATACCCTTAATGATATAACTATCTATTCAAATAAGAATTAATACTATGAAACTAACCAACTAACCATCCTAGCTACCACGGCTCCTATAAACTATTAAATATAACATAAATGTATATAGTAGAATAATTATATACAAATAAATTAGATAGAATCAAAGATGAGCCGTGGTAGCTCAGATAGTTAGCGCTCGCTGTAAGCTTCACAGTACTCGAGCAACCCGGGTTCGATCCCCGCCGGCACCAATGAAATTGTTAATTGCAATTTTAAGTGCTGATTTACCACGTGCTCAGCGGTGAAAGAAAACATCGTGAGGAAACTTGCATATCTGAGAAATAAGAAAAAAAATATTTCCAAGACATGTGAAGTTCGCCAACACGCATTGGAGCAGCGTGGCGGACATTTCCTTGCCCTAAAACCCTCTCAGAAATGAGAGAAGGCCTGTGCCCAGCATTGGGACGTAAATAGGCTGCAACTTTACTTTAACTTTAAAGATGAAAATAGTAACTAGTTACAACAGTTACTAAACTCCAAAGAGTCAGTATAATTCCTTCATGGGGCAACGTAGGTATATGCTTTTACAACAAAGTCCCAGAAAATATAAGACCTTATCAATCAGTTTAAATTTTTAGCAAGCAAAATTTGTTTAGTAAGGGTTATTATACAACTTAAGAGTATGTGATTGATAATAATCCTTGGGAATGAGGAGATTGCTACCATACTAATTTTATTCTATAAAAAATATTGTAAATTAATTCTATTCACCAAAATTTCACTGGGTTTCTAACTCGTTCTTCCCAAGACGGAGGCTTTTTAATATCTCTAATTTATAAGAGTGAAGAATTTTCATTGAATATAGACAAAGTTTAAAAACTGTGGTAGCTTCTACTTACCCACTTTTTTGAAAAAGCTTTAATACAAACATAATAACAAAATTAACTTACGAAGAAGATGGTGACACTGGTAATGGCGGAATTACTTGTGCTGGCTCAGTGGAAGGTGCGGGTCCTAAAGGGAGACTTGGACACTCCAACTGCTGTCCATGTTCATCAAACATGGCCAGTAGGATAACCTCATTGGAGTTATCGAAGTCCCCCTGCATATCCTCCTCCTGAAAAACAAGTAAGAATAGACATTTTAGATACACATATAACATATTTTTATGGTCATGAGTTGGATTGACCAGGATAGCACTGCTATCTTTTAATTAGTAAGTGAGAAAAACCAGAGACTCGTTTCATAGATGTGTTTCATGTTTACGTCATATGATAGATGTAGATAATTTATAGGCTGTTTTAATACAAATGGTATATAAGTACCAACATGTGTATATATATATATATATGGGACGGTAAACCAGCATGACAGGAGAGAGATTAGGTGCAGGACCAATGGCTGTACATGCCTTCCGAGGTAGGGGGGTGAGACAGCGCCAACTTCCCGACTCTGGGCTGCTACTGGGAATTTCTTGACGGAAAAACTCATTAAATCATTTTATTGACCCAACCCAGAATTTGAACCCGGGACCTCATAATCAGCAGTCACGTTATACAACCACTATATGCACTCATATTTATAATTATAATAAAGACTAGAGTATAATAAATAACTTACAACATTATTATGTGAAAATTTTTCTTCCTCTTCTTCACCGAGATCGCCCTCGTCTGAGTCACACCATAAAATATCTAATTCCGCCATTTTTCTGAAAATGTATGTAGTACATACGTGAACATTTTGTGTCTTCATGAAAATCGAAAAGAGTAAGAAGACAAAGTTTATAAAATTTATATGAATTATGAAATACTAAATTCTACACTCATTATCTAATTACTATGTAGAAAAAAATACTCTAAAGGAAGACAGTTTCTTTTTGTAAGGAGAATGGGCCCACCACAAATTTTAGAGAACCTTAATGAAATGCATGTCGATTTATTCATTATAATCTATAGATTACAATAGTAATATTAGTTTTACCGTATCTAATGGGAATAATGAGTAATTAGCAAATAAACTATGTATCTTACTATAACCTAAAAACCAACTAAAAGCTATTTTCTATTAGTTTTCACCGGTATTATAAGTTAAAATAGTGCACTGTTCAATAAATAATAGTATAAAACAAAGTTGTAGTTACATTCAGCATTTATAGGTACTTTAAAATTGATGGAAAATATTTTAGTCGTTCCGGCAAAATAATATAGTGAATGTCTGTGCATGAATATGGTATGGATACTATATTTTACATGTATTGTTTAACTACTTAGTTGTAACTACGTAGTGTTGCAAGTTTTGTGATGCAACTTTCCCTTTTAATTGTACCCCACAGTAACTCTATTGGGTTGAGTTCTGGATGGTAGGGTGGTAGGCGCAATACACTGTGTCCGTGATCTTGGAGGATTTTATTAAGTACAAATTGTACATAGTTTGGCTTATTTTTTTAAATAATATCATATAGCATAGGTTTTGTGTTTCTTTCGGGATATGATATATTATATTTGTCCAAACAAGCTAACATGTCACTTTTTCTTGAATTTCATGCAGGCACTGGATCCAATACGACGTTGTGGTACGATGCATTATCGACTACTAAAACTGACTGTGGTGGTAAATTTGGAAGAAGTTTTTCTTTAATCCATTTCTGATAATTACCAGCATTCATATTACTGTGATAATCTCCCTTTTGCTTTTTTGCTGGATAGATAAGCAAAGCTTCTGGAATAAATCCTTGTTCCGAGCAGGCATGAACTATCACTAGCATGTCGCCCTTGGAAATAGGTACTTTACAACCTTCGCTCGTTTCGTCGGACCATGATCGTGGCAACGTATGCGAGTTGTGTATGTAAGATTCATCCGTATATATTATAGGTCGGCCTAGTGATCTATATTCTTGCAGTTTCGAAAGATATAATGTTCTTTTGAGTCTAATGTGCCTTTTTTCAATAAGTAGTTTTTTATTATTTTGTGTCTTATTCCATCTAACCAACCTAGCCTCCGAACGACCTTTCTTAATGAAGAAATGCCTCCTTCAAAGTTGATACTTTCTTTTAACACTTCTAACAACTTTTTTAATGTCGGAAATGTATGCTGAACCAGATGAAAGTTGTAGATAGTTCGCCTTATGACTTCTTGGTCAAAACTATCTACTGAAGATTTTTTTGCTAAACTTGGTCGCTTTTTACCCGGTGTTCTAAAAGTAACTTGAGGTACCAATGTTTTGGATGCTGGTGGCTCTCCTTCTCCTGAGGTAGACTGTTGTGATGTTGACGCTTTAACAGACGCTATAACTTGATTGCGTACTTCACAAACAACTTGTTGAACACTTCTCTGAGAAACACCAGTCGCATCTGATGTCAAACCGTACAAATCTTTCATTAAACGATCTCCGCCATCACTTTTTTTATTATGATAATGCATGAAATAGTTAAAAACGTTGTACACTATTTCACGAGATTGTCCTGTTAAAGTTTTTCAGGAACCAATTCTTTCAGAAGACATTTTATTCTAAACTCCAAATATGTGAATAATTAAACGCGCTGCGTGTCGATCACACGTGACTGACGCTAACAGTTGAATACCAAAAAGACCACGCTGTATTTATAAACAGTATCAAAATCAAAACAATAACTGTCCCCTTCACACTCATAAGCTCGATCGCGCGAGAGAGAGACGGGCAGACTTTTCATGATGCGCATGCGGTGCGACGTCACGCCAAGGGCTTATTCACAGACACTACACAAGCGCATCGTGTAAATGTGTTGTACGTGCCAGCTTTGTTTAACTGACCTATATAGATAATATTTTTACAGATGTTAAGACCTTGCATAAATCAATTATTCAAAATTTAAGTCCAGATCACTGTGGACAGTTAGTTGGTATCATTGCCTTACATACACAAGAAACAGAAAAATAAGAAAGTTGTGTTTGTTCCAATAAATGAACATCGCTTGGAGAGGTTTAGCAGCAATATAATAAAAAGACTTCCATCACTTTCATTTAAAAACAGTGCTAATTATTTGTATGGTAGGTTTTTTAAAATTATAACTTGTGAATTTAGTAGGATATTTACTTCTAAACCTTTCTCTTTTAACAGTCGCAAATCATTTAATGAATGGGCGGCAGTAGGAATTTATAAGAGTAGGTGAAAGTTATACGAGCTTTATAATGAAAGATCATATAATAGTAGTGTTATATTTAGAGATTATGTAAAAACATATTCTAAAATGTTTAAAAAAGTGTGTGCCACAGCTAAGGCTTTACATTTAAGTAACAAAATTAAAACTGCATCTAACAAAATTAAAATGACCTGGAGAATAATAAATAGTGAAACTGGCAAGGTCAAACCGCGCAACTCGGATTTTAACAATATTCTAAGAAAATTATTTTAAGAATTTCAATTGAATATTAACAATAATTTAACTCAATCTGATCAAGAAGTTGCTATGGCTTTTGAGAAACATTTTACTGATGTTCCTTTATTGACAACTAAATCATTAAACTCTTCTCCTACTGTCGCCGAATCATTGCTCAAACAAAATGTAAAGGCTTGTTCAAATACTTTAAATTCCATAGAGTACTGCCAAAAGATATCGTTAAATATTTTAAAACTATTGATGTTAAGAAAACGGCAGATTTATGGGGGATTTCCGTTAAAGTTATTTTATCTATAATAGATATAATAGCACCTTATCTAGCCACTATATTTAATACAAGCGTCGAATCTGGTGTGTTTCCTGATTTAATGAAACATAGTAAAGTCATACCTTTATTTAAATCTGGTAGTACATTAGACCCCGCCAATTCTAGACCAATTTCTGTACTACCAACATTTAGTAAAATTTTTGAAAAAATAATTTTAGATCAGATGTTAAGTTTCTTTAATATTAATAAATTGCTACATAGAAATCAATTCGGTTTTACAAGGGGTCGCTCGACAACTGACGTTAGAGTTGAGCTTATTAAACATATTTTTTGTGCATGGGAGAATTCAGAGGATGCTTTGGGTATATTTTGTGACCTTTCCAAGGCCTTCGACTGCATTCACCATGAGACATTAATCAGGAAGCTACAGTACTATGGTGTCAAGAACACAGCGCTTAAACTTATTATTTCATATTTAAGTAATAGAATGCAGAAAGTTATTATCAATGGTAAAAGTTCTTCCAGCTCACCTGTACTAATGGGTGTCCCTCAAGGCTCGATTCTCGACCCATTCCTATTTCTAGTGTATATTAATGACTTACCTTCTCTTGTAGAGGATAATCATGATATAGTATTATTTGCTGATGATACTTCCTTGATTTTTAAACTTAAACGTCAATCATTTATATGTGACGAAATGAATAATGCTATATCAAAAGTAGTGCATTGGTTTAACGTTAATAATCTGCATTTAAACGGAAATACAACTAAATATATTAAATTTACAACAACAAATGTTAAAAATCTGAGTACCAATGTGTTTTTATATGGGGAAGACCTGACCCCTGTTGAATCCACTGTTTTTCTTGGCATCACTCTCGAGTCTCGACGCAAAGCTTCAGTGGGGCCCCTAAATGTCGAAACTAACAAGCAGGCTAAGTTCTGCAGCCTATGCTGTAAAAAAGATTAGTGGTCTCACTACTGTCGAGACATCTAGATTAGTTTATTTCAGTTATTTCCATAGCATAATGTCTTATGGGATTTTGCTATGGGGAAATGCGGCTGATTCAGAAACTATTTTTGTTTTACAGAAGAGGGCCATTAGAGCTATTTACAACTTAAAAGCGAGAGAGTCTCTTAGAGATAAATTTAAAGAAATAAATATATTATCTTTGGCCTCTCAGTATATTTATGAAAATTTAATGTATGTTCACAAAAACAAAGGTAGTTTTAGTAAAAAAAGTGATGTGCATTCTGTAAACACTAGGAACAAACACAAGCTAGTGATACCAGTTTCTCGACTCCACAGAGTCAGTAATTCATTCTTGGGGCAATGTATACGCTATTACAACAAGGTCCCAGAAAGTGCACAGGCTCTCTCTATTAGCAAGTTTAAATGTTTTGTTAAGTTGAAACTGTATAAAAAGTGTTATTATAGTATAAATGAATACATGGTTTATAATAACCCCTGGGAATGAGGTGATCGCTTCCAAGCTGTTTCTAAAATAAAATTTGTACTTATATAGTTTCTACTACCATTATTGTAAAATGTGCTTTAAAAAAAAGTCCCGCTGGGTTTCTTACTGGTTCTTCCCAGGACAGAGGTTTTTTTTTGAACCAGTGGTAAAGTAAAAAATGACTTTCAATAAGAATTACACATGTGATCTATATTGAATAAAAAATTATTCTATTCTATTCTATTTATTTTTTGTTACTTCATATAAGTAGTGCATAACATAAAAGGTGATTTAAATGTACTTGTTTGTTTAAAGTATGAATAATAACAATGAAACAACAAAATAAAAATCGTCAATGTGGCATTATTTTAAAAAATGGAAGCGATTTATAAGATATGCAAAAAGCGGTTTATAGATTTTGAAATACTCCACATATCTGTAGTAAATAAAAAACATGGAAATACTACAAATAAATGAATAATAAATATTTGTATTTTATTTCATATTGCCACATATTACTTATTTAATAAAGGTACCTATTTAAAAATGCTTTAACTAAGGTAATCGCTATTTTTGACTCGAGTGATAAACTTCAATAGATGCAGGGACTGTAAATAGTTAATTCAAATAACTCAAAAACTCGAGTACAACTCACAAAATTCTACTCGAGTCACATTTTATATTACGATCAATGCAGGGTCTGTCTACAATTTAGTGATGAACTCGACTTACATTAGTATTATTGACATTACATAATATATCAATAAATTGCTCGAATTATCGAGCAATTTATTGATATATTATGTAATGTCAATAAGCTTATTAAGTATAATTCGTAATAGTTAAATTATTAATAACAGTAAGTTTACGCTACGTCATAAAGTAAGTGATATTATTTTATGAAGATTGTCTATACGCAAACTAATAATATATAATTACCTATTAAGTTAAGAAATAATAATAATTATCTTGGATGGAAGAACAAATATAAAAATAATTTGTAACAAACTGACACAGCTTCATTCCGCCAATTCGAGTTGTGTAACTCGAGTACTATTTGATTACGTGAATTTCAACACAAGTTAACTCGAGTCGAATTTCTTCTTAGTTGGCACATCTCTAGTACAATTGTGTTTAATATTACTTTATCTGAACCAATGACATTAACATAAATATCAAAACAACTCATTTTTTTTCAGATTTCTTGATTCCATGTAGATTTTCATAAAATCTTTATGCAATTTACAATAATAAATTGGTATCTTTTTTTTGTATATAATACCATTGCTGTCCGCAAAAATTTCTAGTGGGCCCAAAAACGACTGTCTCCTTTCATAAAGAAAAGAAATATATAACATAAAATTATATCAACATCGTAATAATATACACTCAGTAGGAGCCTCTAATAAATCGAAATAAAATCAAGGCATTTCTTTAGTAATCTGCCCTAATCTAACCTATCCGAGTCGGGGTGCTCCAAATCCCAAGCTCGCTTCCCTCGCTCTTGCACCAAATAAAGCACCAAAATGTAAACTTTTATAATTACTTTAATAAATAAACATATTTTATTACTTCCAACTACCATCGCCAACTGTCAGCTGTCTGCTGGCTCAAGTTGCCGTCAAAATCTCCCAAGGGGTGTACAATGTGACGCAGTGAAATTCTATATATTCAAAATAAAAAAGACAAGGCTGTATGGCATAGTTCCTTTGCCTGCTCTTTCGAGCGAATAATAAAAACAACAACAACAAAAGTTCAGTTTCAAGTATTAATTAGTGATTTACGAATATTTTTGGGGTACGACTTTCCATTGACTCCCATCGAGTTGGGGGTTGATACGTATTTTTACAGAAAAGTTACACTATTATAAGCACACACACAAAGTTAAAATATGCGGAAACGCGTAATTTTTGGGAAAAAAGTTATTGAAAATCAATTATTCTTGCATTGTTTATATCTAATCCTACCATAAAACTGACGCCATTTTGTAATATCATTGTCGTCAGTAGGGATGTCGATTCTTTCCGAAAAAGGTCGATTTTTAAATCGATTCAAATCGTAAGCTGATGTATCGATTCATAAAAAATCGATTTCTAAAATATCTATATTTTTTATGTTTGTATTTATAATATAAATATAATTCCATTTAATGAAAAACAAGAAAGATAATAAAAATAGAAAGCTATTCCAGACTAATAATTATATTATTTCGTTTTCGTATCATTTTTAAATGGATATAACCTCAAAACTATATTATCGATATCTCGAAAACTAAAGATTTCCGACATAAAAAGCAGCTAGATGGTAATCAATAGCATCATTTCCTATCACCTAAAGCTAAAATGATCACTTAAATCGTGCCGTAGATTACTAAAGCCGACCCAAAATCAATCATAGGTATATATTTATTTGTTGTTTATGTATTCGTTTATTGAGCAACGCCATTTTTGTTGAAAACAATTTTGCCATAATTTTCACGATATATCGAAATTATAATATAAAACGTCATTTTTGCACATTGGACTGTATAAAATATGAGTTTCTGTGTTTTTTTCACGATTTATGGTGATTATTGACACTTTATATTTCATTTTCAGTTAATTATGAGTACTTTATTTCATACATGAACGACGGTATTTGAAATGCTAATTTTATAAATTGAATAAAAATTGTTAAAATAAGAAATAAAAGCAAAACTTTAAAAAAAACAGTGTAATTACTTACCCTTTGTATAATAAAACTCAACAAAACTTTTGTAAATGGATAAATACTCAAATTCTAAAAATAATGCAGTAGGGCAAGCGTCAGCGTCACGCACGCACACTTCTCCTTCTTAATAACTGGCTTTACAGGTCTGGGATCTAGCCCTTTTGAGCCTGAAGTTACAATATATTATAATATTAATTATCCTTCATAGTATACTGCTTCACAATATGTTGATGCGTCACATTGTGCAGCCCTTGGGAGATTTTGACGGCAACTTGAGCCAGCAGACAGCTGACGGTTGGCGATGGTATCTCAAGGCGCCTAAGCAGACAGACACCTTATTTTGAGAATCACATCACCATCAGAGCACTTGTTTCACAGTTTCCACTAATAGTTCACATGCGCAGACACTTAATACACAAAATCGCACCACTTTACATATCAAAGTCCACTTCAAACCATTATTTAAACAATAATACAGGAGCAGCAAACCACCGCTGGTCAAGTTCCCGCCAAAACCTCTGTCCATAGATAAATATTGCCTCTGTCACGCACACGGCATAGTATAAATCACAGAACACTAAGCATAAATACCACAGACAGGGTTGCCAATACCAATGTATGTAATTCCCCAAAAAACCGAATAAAATTCCCCTAATTTGGTGACAAAAATCTGCTAATTCCCCCCAAATTCCCCTCAATATTATTTTAAACGATGAAACAAGTTTCAACTATTTAAATAATATTTATTTTTTAGCCTTTTTTCATACGTTTGATGCAAGCATTTTGCTCGAAGGATTATTAATCTTGACACTGCCGTCCAATTTTTTTATCCCCTCTCTTGTTGCCATTAAAGATACTACCGTATCTGTATTTAGCCGATGGTGGTTTTCTGTTTATAAATATCGAAGCACACTAAATGTTCTTTCGACCGATGCGTTTGAAAATGGCAGTATGAGCAACAAAGACGTAACAATTTTTATGTTTTTACACACAGCACAGCATTTCAAGGCGAAACACTTTACCCCAGTAATTTTCAGCATCGATGTTATCTCCATGAATTTCAAGCTCATGTTGATCAAAATCTAACAAAGCGTGATTTCGCCACTAGTCATCTAATTTTTGTGCGGTCTCAAATTTATAAAACACAAAAACTGTTGAGCTTCTGATGGATTTACAGCGGATACCGAAATCCATCAGACATTACCTCATGGTAATGTCTGATGTCTATTCAATATAAAACTCCTGGCAGGTTCTATAGAAATCTGCAATAGGAGCACCAGGTACAATTTCGTCATTTTTTAATTTTTCTATACTTTCTCCAGCCTTTGATCCAATATATATTTCGTTTAAACTCAGAAAATGTGTTGGGTTTTTGAATTCTGCGTTTAAAATATTAGCACCGGACTTGACATAGCTAATTTTCATGAAATTAGAAGACAATGTTTTCAAAAGGTTTTCGAGTTCTGAATTCAATTTGTTAAGAAGGGATGTTTCTGATTGAAATAAGATATTGAATTTTGTTACCAGTGTATGTACGTAAGACATGAATTCCAAATGTACCACAGTGAATTGGTTGATCATTGTAATCAGCATTTCTTCGGTAGTCTTCGACGGATCTGAGCAGACTGTTTCTGTCAAGCAGACTTTTAATAAAATATACTGCTACTGATAAAAAATGAAACTGAACCACAAACTATACAAGTTCATGCAAATTCTGTATTAATATTTACAATTACCACTAGGTGTCGCCAAAGTATTTTTTAATGAATTTGGAATAAACACGAAATCTGTAGAAAGAAATGTATAAATCCTAAAAACATTATAAGATACACAAAACAATTATATGATTGGCGAAAAAATAAAGATGCCAAAATTTAAATTTAGCTCAATGAAGAATATTGAGTCGTCCGTTGTCCATAAGTAATTAAACTGAAAATAATTTTAAAATGTTTGGAATTCTCGCAAAGTAGTTAAGAAGTAAGAAGAAAAATCCCCGCATTTTCCCCGCATAATGCCAGTCCCCAATAAATCCCCAATCAACTTGAGATTCCCCGCAGTTTGGGGAATTCCCCACAAATCGGCAACACACATAAAAATGACTCTGTGGTCCACAGAGTCATTTTTATATACTGAAAATAAATACGACGCATCATGACGGAAACTAGTCAATTGAACTAAATACTCTTATTTTATAGAAGCGTAATTTAGTAACGAGACTAATTGTAATTAAATTTTTAGAAAATTAGATATACCTATAGTTCTTTTAAATAACATTTAAAAAAGAATTGTCTGAGAGATCTCCAAAGTGACATATTCCAGTTTATAAAAAGTACTCTGTGGTGACATATTTTTGAGAATCCAATTGGATTCGTCGAGCTTTTACAGGTTAATAACAGGAGGTGAAACCGGCCCTTAATTTAATATTTACCGTAAGGTATGTTAATATAAATGTTTTAAGTGGTATGTTAATCGTGTGAAAATTAACATTGCTCCTCATTCGTTTTGTTAATTCTCATCTATGACTACTCACTAGCAGTCACCCGCGGCTACGTTCACGCGCCCACCATAATTATTACTCTCGTGGGATTAACTTTTCTGAGGTAAAAAGTAGCCTATGTCAAAGAAAATATACACTACGCCAAAAAGAAACGACACTTAAACATGTGTGCTCGTAAAATCGCTTGCAGCTATGTGTGGGTGTATGGATGTGTGCGGGGGCTTTGAGAGGCGCGCGGGGTGCGGAACGGGCCGTCGCCGTAGATAGAAGATACTATGTCTATGGCCGTCGCCGACTGCCCTGGCCGAGGGCTAGTACGTAGTAGTCCTGTATAGGACAGTTACTATACTCTTTGGTAGTTGTTCGCGTCTCGTCTCTGTAATGTCACGCACCGCACGCAAGCACAGACTGACTGCGCTTTAAGGCCTGTTTTCACTTTGATTAGTGATTAGTGCAGGTGCTTAGTGTTTAGGAGTAAACAAGTGTGGACAGCGATTGATTAGTGCAAGTGATTAATAACCTGTGCAGTGAAGTGATTAGAAGCGTGTTCTATTTTTTTGCGAATGGATTGCGAGTGTCACGCCCCGCGCGCCCTTCCTTTCCCCTCACTCGCAGCATTCCTTCCACTAAACACGTTTGGACAGCAGTGCTAAGTGTTTAGCGTTTAGCGTCGGACGCTCGCCTCTGTTAAAAAAACGTCCATACTTCCTGGTCGACTGCTTACAACTGAATTTACTAAACACAGCCACTAAACAGAATTGGACACTACTTACACTACTTACACTACACACCTGCACTAATCAACCGCAATTACTAATCACCTGCACTCGCACAAATCAAAGTGAAAACAGCCCTTTAATAATTAAAAGATAATTGAAGCTATGAACATACCGGGGTTTGGAAGTAAAGAAGTTTATACTAAAATAAGAAACATGAGGTCTACATATTCGCGTTCATATTTGCTGGTCGACAGCTAACAACTGAATTTACTAAAAACAGGCCTTTATACAAACATAATGCCTAATCATTTGTATATAATTATTCTATCATTATTTAGTTACAATATTTGTTTATATGTATGGCACATTTACATTATATATAACAGTTTTAAAGTATATATTTGTACTATTATATATATATATATTAACATATTAACATATATATTAACAACAACATATATAATAACATACATATTAACATACCTATATATATATATATATATATATATAGGTATGTTAATATGTATGTATGTATTTATCTTATCTATGTATTTATATTTGTATTTTATGGCTCTAGTAAAAATAATGTTATTTTTGTCGCCAAACCACAGACGTTTTTATTGTTTTCTTTCTTCAAGGTTGTCTGAAAGAGATCGCTCTTAGCGATAAGAGCACCCATTGTACCACATTTATTTTTCTAATTTTTTGTTAATATTTATGTTATTTTTTGGCATATAATAAAGTGTTATCTATCTATCTATCTATGCTTTCCTATGGATTTTCTAAAAAAATATACATACGGCTACGAATTTTTGCCATTGTTAGAAATAATAATAAAAATTATAAAAGTCATCGAAAAAGCCAAAAATATATAAGAGTAAGTAATTTTTAAAGGGTAGTAGGTAATACTGATTATTGCGTACTGAAGTACTAAGTGTTGGTTAATTATTTCAGATTACCATTAACTGTCGTGCATATTTTGTTTTCTTTTTCTTTTTTTTTATCTTCACGCACAATCCCTGACGGGGTAGCCAGAGAGAACAGATCGCCAAGTGTCACGATCCTTACATACCTCTTTCGCTTCTTTCAGATTCATTATCTTCTTCATACATGCACGTCTAGGTATCCGTGTACTCTTGACCCTACCCTTTTCGAGCAATTTCCTCACATGGTCTTCGAAAGTTAGTCTCGGTCTACCTCGACACCTTTTAATATTAACTTTCGCGCTATATATTTTCTTCACCATTCGGTCTTCACTCATTCGCTCAACGTGCCCAAACCACCGAAGCACGCCCTTATCAATTTTTGTGATAAGGTCATCTTTTAAACCTGCCATATTGCGAATCTCTTCGTTTCGCTTTCGGTCGGCCATGGTAACGCCGCACATTTTACGAAGAGATCGCATCTCCACTGCATTCAACTTGCTTTTATGCTTCTTCTGGCATACCCAGGCAACCTACTTAAATAAAACAATTCAAAATGAGTTCATTAATACAATTTCAGACGGCATAAAAAGCATATTACGGACGATATCATTACATCGATATATTATTCTATTATTTTAAATTGTACTCCAGACGCTAGCAAAACTGAGCAGATGACCATGATATTAGGTATATTTCTATTATTCAATCCGAAGATCATTCAAGAACGTCAGAGTTTGTAATAAATGAAAGTTTTTTTAGGATTTATACAAATAGAGAAATCTACACATCTGGCACTAACAGAAATTATCGTGGAACATATTATCAGCACTTGGATTGTCTTTAGAAAACATAAGAGGGCAAGGGTACGATAATGGATCCAATATGTAAGGTATTCAAAGAGGAGTCCAAGACAGGATTAAAAAGATCAAGCCACGGGCATTTTACGTTCCTTGCAGTAGTCATTCTTGAAACTTAGTGGTAA